CTCAGTTGTGTCCGATTCTTTGCAACGTTATGGACTGTAGCCTGCCAGGCTTTTCTGGAGGGAATTCTCAGGATTTCTCAGGAAGTTCACAGGATTTCCCAGGAAGAATACTTGAGTGGGTTGCCATGGCTTTCTCCATGGAATCTTCCCGACCCAGGGATCCAACCCACTGACTGGATAGAACCCACTCAGCACCAAACTAAGTAAACACAATAATGCAAGATCAAGCCCTGCATTAGGAGGTGGATTCTTTACCACTGAGCCACTCGGGAAGCCCTATACATATATATACATGCCTATATTTCCTAGCTCTGGCTGTTCAAAGGAAAAAATAGCCAAAGAAACAAATACAACCAAATAGAAATGAGCATGTCTGGTTCCCAGATTTTAGTTTCTAATACCATTCCCCACTGAAAGGAACCTGAACTCCTTTGAGAAACGACTGATTCCAGGGCTGGGGGAATGTAGGTATTAATACAATTGGAGCATCTTGTTATGCCAGATAGTAAGTGCTAGAAGGTTATGGGAACACTTTGCAAGGACATGGTGGCCAAATTGAAGAGGTTCCCGTGGACCAAATTTGGGACAATTCGAGCACAAAATTAAGAAAAACAATAATGAACTATAGACCACTGAAAAAAATAGCAATCCATGAGTCCACAATCATGGACAGATGATAGATATCAACAGACAGATAGATCGGAGAGTGTGCTAAGTCACTTCAGTCATGTCCAACTCTTTGCAAGCCCAAGGACTGAAGCCCTCCAGGCTCCTCTATTCATGGGATCTTCCAGGCAAAAATACTGTAGTGAGATGCCATTTCTTACTCTAGGGTATCTTCCTGATCCAGGGATTGAACTCGGAGATAGATAGATAAATAAATGGGGGAGGAGGGAAATCTCTTGCTTAGAGCAAACTACTGAGGGCCCAAAGTCAACTCGTCCATTAGACAAAGTGTCTAAATCCCATGATACTTTTAAAGGCCATTTTTTTTTTGTTTCTTTTAAAAGAAACAAAAGAAAAATAAATGTAATAACAACAAATCCAGCTTGGATCATATTTTTATACCAACGCAGTAGTAAAATATATTAAATTAAATTTAAAAAAAAAACAAAAAACAAAACAACAACAAAAAATAAATAAATTTTTATGGAGTGAGGGACCCATGAAGGCAAAAGAGCATAGGGCTCATGAAAGTCATAATGCAGCCCTGTGGGGGACAAGTGGTAAATGTGGACAGGGTGCTAGATGGAAAATCATCATTTGGCAACATTCATGGTAGATTCAAGCATGATTCATCAATAGATGCTAAATCCAAGAGAAATTTTTGGTGAAGAATAGGATATTTGCATGGTCTTAAATTATCTCTACCCTCTACTTTTTATTAGTTGCAAGGCAAAAAAAATTAAAAGATAATTACACAGTGGAGAAAGTGGGTGCCACCTTGACTTCTTGGTCAAAATTAACGGAGTATTACCTGTGAGGGACAGACGGACATCATGTGCCTCCAGCTGTAGTATCCCGAGAAGGTTACAACATCATCTATGCAGGATCCCTACTCCAAGTGTATAATAATGAGGAAACATCAGACAAACAGAAAACAAAAGGCGTTCTAGTTTTTTTTAATGGCGCCATGGAGGAGTTATATTCTTGAAAAATGTCAATGTCAAAAAAGACAAAGAAAAGCTGGGAAATGGTCTAGATTTAAGGCAGCTGAAGAGACACGGCAGCTAAATACTGTTGCGTAAAAACTGACCCTAAAATTGAACCTGTCCTAGGAGGAGAAAAACCTATAAAGAACAGTATTAGATTAATTTTAAAATGTGAAACATAGACCATAAATTAGATAAATGTATTCCATCAGTGTAAATTTATGAAGTTATTATCTATAGAGCAAAGCCCTATTTTACAGAAATATATGCTGAAGTATTTAAGGGCAAAAACTATGATGTGTATAACTTACCTCAAATGGCTCAGGAAAAAAAATGCCTCCTTAGACAGCAAGGAGATCAAACTCGTCAATCCTACAGGAAATAAACCTTGAATATTCATTGGAAGGACTGATGCTGAAGCTGAAGCTTCAGTACTTTGGCCACCTGATGTGAAGAGCCGACTCACTAGAAAAGACTCTGATGCTGGGAAAGGTTGAAGGCAAAAGGAAAAGAGGGTGGCAGAGGATGAGATGATTGGATAGCATCACTGACTCAATAGAAATGAACTTGGACAAATTCTCGGAGATGGTGAGGGACAGGGAGGCCTGGCGTGCTGCAATTCATAGGACTGCAAAGAGTCAGACACAACTTAGCAAGTGAAAAACAACGTGTGCATTGTGTGTGTGTGTGTGTGTGTGTGTGTGTGTGTGTGTAGAGAGAGAATAAATGACAAAGCAAAGGAGATAAAATTACAATAGGTGACTCTTTGTAAAGAGTATATGAATGTTCCTTGTACTACTTTAATTTTTGCAACTTCTTATAAGTTTGAAATTATTTCCAAATAAGTTTTTTAAAACTTATAAAATAAAAAACATATTAGAGTGTCACATATAGATGTATAATTCATACTGTATGCATAACATTGGCTGGACTTTTCACATTATAGTTTCCCATGTTATTATATAACCTTTTAATCTATCATTTTAAATGTCTGCGTAACATTCTATCAAACTGACACTCTACAGTATACTGGGCCATTTCCTTATTGCTAAGCATTTAGACTATATTCAATTTTTCCTGGTTTAAACCATGTTTATAATGGTTAAGCTGAAGAGCTGTAGAACCATATTACCTATATCCAAGTCTCAGCTCTGTGCTTTACTAGCCATGTAGCTTTGACTAAATTACTTATCCTTCTATCCCTCAATTCTCTCCAGTCAGACATAACAGTATTTACAGAGGCTGTGAATATTAGATGATATGCTCATGTAAAGAACTTACAGTTGTGCCTAACACATAGTAAGCACTCAATAGATACTAGCTTTTGTGTAATTTTTTGTGTATTCAGCTTTTTTGGTTTGAGGAGAAATCTTTTGCAATATTAATAGTTTAATATAAAGGCAATACTGATATTTTGGGGTATGGAAAAAGATGCATAATATAGACACGATAATGGCAATATTGTGAACAACGAAACCAATCCTTGCTTTAACTTTTTTTTAAAGTGTAAGGGGGTTCATCTAATAAACAAAATCACATCTGCTAATCCTAAAGTATACCACTAGATGGCAGTATAACCAATTAATTGACAAGATTAATTTAGGTAAATTTCAAACTTAAATTTATGAATTCCCAAAATAGAAACAGGTTCTTTGAAAAGAAGTGTGGTCACAGCAAACACATTAAGTCTACTGCTGGTGAATCAGTTGAGGTACATCTGTCCCAATACCTCACTAGGTGTTAGGTTGGCCAGACATCTCTGAACTGATTTCATCTTTCCTCTGATCCATTTCCACTCAGCTTAAAAACATTTTCCTCTTTCAGGCTTTCCCATCTCAGTAACGGCACTATTGCCATCTATCTATGTGCTTAAGGCAGAAACTAAAAGTCACTCTACTGCGGGCTGTGGGACTTTTTGTTATTGATTTTCTAGTTTTGTTATAGTAAAAAAAGAATGTAGTCCATATGATGTCAGTTATTTTGCTATTTCTCTGCAGAAATAGCAGAGACTGGCTTTGCAGTTAAATGTTGTAAGTTTTCCATGTGTACTTAAAAAGAACATATAATATCTGTTAGGTAAAGGATTCTGGCTACATCCATGAACTCAATCTTGCTAGGTGCTGTTCATATCCTCTATATCCTTGTTAACATTTTGTCTGCTACTTCTGTTCTGTAGGAAATGTAGTTTAAAAAAACAACTCTCCCACTGAGATTTAAAATTTATTTCTTAAAATTCTGTCAGTGATATTTTTGCTTTATATCTGTTGAAGATAAATTGTAAGTTCACATATAGATTCAGAATTGCTATATCTCCTTGGAAGGCTATTTTTTATTACTTTTTAAATCAGTTTATTCTTAACAATACTTTCTACGTTAAAGTCTGTTTTGTCTGGCATTAATATAACTGCACTAGCAGCAGCAGCAGCATTCTTTTGGGAAATATCTGCCCATCATGTATTTTTTCCAATCATTGGCTTTCAACATTTCTATGCCTTTATGTTTTAGCTATGTCTATGGCAAATACATACAGCTAGATTTTTTTGCTTCTTATCTAATATAAGTACTGATTTTAACTGACAAGATTAATGTATATATGAACTGAACTTAAATTATTGACATATTTGGACTTATTTCTATAATTCTGTGGTGTGTTTTTATTTATAACGGATTTTAACTTTTTTTTCCTCCTTGCATGCCTTTTATTGGATAGTTCCAGTTTTATTTATTTCTCTTTATTTACCTTTATTGATTTAGAGCCTTTATATTTCTATCCTTATGTAATTATTCTTCTGTTTTTAACAGGAACATTAGAAAGTCTAAAGTTAATTTATTAAAACTTTATCTCCAATGACTTTTCCTCCTATTCTGCTCACTGTTGCTATCTAGTATTTTAGTTTTAACATCCTCTCAATCTAGACTTTAGTATCATTGTTAATGTCATTTACAATAAGTGCTTATATAGATATGCTCACATGTTTAACAATTTTCTTGCTTACCATTACTTCTCGATAAAAACTCTTCAGTAGCTTCACATTAGAAGGAATAATATCCAAATCCTGTGCCAACACTTCACACGATCTGGTCCCTGCCTGCTTCCCTAACCTCCCATCCGTCACTCTTCCCCCTCGCTCACTGCCCTCCAGCTATAATCTCCTTTTCTCAGTTTCTGGAACATGCTATCATTGAACTCCAATTTTTTCCCGTACCTCAAATCCTATCTATGTTCTTTTCCTTCAGTTCAGTATGGTCTCCTTTCTATTCTCCCTATTGCTGGCTCTCTCTCTCTCATTCTTCTTGGCTTAAATGTTATCTTCTCAAAGAAGTGCTCTTTTGCCACTCTACATGGATTAGGCCCTCCCCATCCCATAATTCTCTGTAACATCCCTGTTTATATTTCCCCTACGTACTTATCTCATGTCATAATTACATATTTGAATATGTGTTTTCTTGCTTGGTATCTACCTCTCTGATTATATTTGACTGTATAAGAACAGCAGTGGGAGTAAAAAAAAATGTAAATGTGAACGAGAATTATTTCAAAAGAAGGACTGAACATTTTTTAGATCAAATTAGATGAGAGGGCAAATAGAAGGAGATGTTAAATGTAATTAGGTTTCCCTTTTGGAAGACTGTAAGATAGAGATACCACTTGACAGAAATAGAATAATTGGGAGAATAACTTAATTTGAATGAAATTGAGGAGGGAGAAAATCACTTCTGCTTAGAAATATATATGAAGGCTAAAATAACAGTGGGTCATCTCTGTGAAGCTATCACATAGACAATCTGAATTATGGTAGTAGAACATAGGTATGAGGTCAGAAATGGAGACATAATTTTGGGAGTAACTTACGTATTTTTCATCACTTATCAATTTCGTGTTCAATTTCTCCTTGAGCCATTCCAAACCTTCTGCTTTATATTATTCAATAAAAATTTTTCCTGGCTCTGTGCTAAATATAAGGACACAATAATTAACTAAGATGGATGCTTTTCTGCTGTCAGAGTCTACAACACAAAGGGGGAGAAACGATTAAATAAGCAATTGTAATAGAGTATGATATACTACTCACCACAGGGATTAGATAAGCTTGTTACTAGGAACTCACAACAGGAAAAGTTAACCTAGTCTTGGGGTCAGGGAAGGTTTTCTGGGGGTGGGGAAGTGATGCTTTACTGAAACGCAAAGGAGAATAAGGAGATACTCAGGAAAAAAATGAAAGAGGGAGGCTCCTTATGTGAAGGAAACATGTATGCAAATCCTGAAAGCAAGAAAAACCGTGCAGCTCAACTATTGCTACTTTCGCCCAGAAACTATTCTCTACCCAGCCATCTAAATTTGTTTTTCAAGTTGATTGAGATATAATTTATATATAGTAAAATTCATCCTTTTGTGATGTAAGGTTCTACAAATTTTGGCAAATTTGTGCTGTCATGTAACAATTATGACAATCAAGATATGTCATATTTCTATCACCCTAAATAGTTCTGTCACACTGCTTTTTACCTCCCCTACCTCAGCCCCCTTGCCACTGCTGATTGCATTTCCATCCCTATAGTTTCCCTTTTTCCAAATGTTGTATAAATGGAATCATACAATATGTAGTCTTTCGAATCTGGCTTCTTTCACTGAGTATAATAATGGTGCTGCATGTATCAGTAGTTTGTTCCTTTATATTGCTGAACAGAACCCATTGTACAGGTGTACCACAATCTGTTTCATGTTAATGGACATTTGGCATGTTTCCAGCTTTTGAAAAATATGGACAAAACTGCTATAAATATCTCCTTAGAGGTTTTTTTTACAGAAGTATAATTGGTTTACAATACTATGTTAGTTTCAGGTATAAAGAAAAGTGATTCAGTTATATATATATATATATATATATTTTAAAAAATAGTTATATATTTCATATTCCCATAGAGTTTTTTCTGTGGATGTAAGTCTTCATTTCTTTTGAATAAATACCTCAGAATGGGACTGTTATGTCACAGAATAAATGCATGTTTATCTTTATAGGAAATTACCAGAGTGGCTGTACCATTTTACATTCCCAAAACCAGTGTATGAGAGTTCCAGTTATTTTGAATCCCTACCAGCATTTGACATCAGTTGTTCGTTTCATTTTATTTATTTTTTAAGCCATTCTACTAGGATTTGTAGTGATGTCTCATTGACACTTTAGTTTGCATTTTCCTTATGACTAACTGTCTCGAGCATCTTTTCATGTACTTGTTTGCCATCTGTATACCTTCTCCTGTAAAGTGTCTGTTTAAATCTTTTACCCATTTTTTTTCTTTTTTGGATTATTTTCTTGTTATTGAGTTTAGTGAATCTTTTACTAAAAGACTTCAGTTTACCAGTACTTTATCAGATCTGCAATTTGCAAATGTTTCTTCCTCCTGTGTGCCTTGTCTTCTCATTTTCTTAGACTGTCTTTTAAAGAGCAGAATTTTCTCTCTTATAAAGTCTAATTTATTAATTTCCTCATTTTTACCCAGTATTTTAATCCCATTCCTTTCTAGAACAATCTTTTTCTGCCTACCATCATGCAGAAGTTTCCCACTTTTTGCAAAAATCTCCATTTACTTCCCTGGTGGCTCAGACAGTAAAGCGTCTGCCTACAATGCGGGAGACCTGGGTTCAATCCCTGGGCTGGGAAGATCTCCTGGAGAAGGAAAGGGCAAACCACGCCAGTATTCTTACCTGGAAAATCCCATGGACAGAGGAGCCTGGGAAGCTACAGTACATGGGGTCGCAAAGAGTTGGACACAACTGAGTGACTTCACTTCACTTCACTTGCCATTATTGTCCATCCCCCATCATCACTATCCTTTTTCTCCTTCATTCCCCTGCCAAATATTTGGAATGTATGTTCTCTAGAATGCTCCATTTACTTACTACTTAGTCATTCCTGAAAATCCCTGAAAATTTGCTTCCATCCACACCACACTACCATAGCTAACCTCTGGATGTCACCAAAAAACCTCTTACATGTCGATTCCAATTTCTAGACTCTAATCTTTTAGCTTAACCCTTCCTTCCAAAAATTATTTTTTAACCTCTTACTTTCAACATTCCCAAAAAGTCAATCTAAGTTTGTGTAGTAGAGGGCTTCCCATGTGGTGAAGAATCTTCCTGCAATACGGGAGACCTGAGTTCAATCCCTGGCTTGGGAAGATCCCCTGGAGAAGGGAAAGGTTACCCACTCCAGTATTCTGGCCTGGAGAATTCCATGGACTGTATAGTCCATGGGGTCACAAAGAGTCAGACACGACTGAGCGACTTTCACAATCACTTTTCATAGTATCCCCTTAGGGGTTAATCCAGTTATGGAATGCCATATAAACAAGGGTTTCTTTACTGAATAAATTCAACTTTTTTTGGCCTGAATTCAGACAGAAGCAGTAAATATGCAATAGGTGTTACATTATTTACAGGTAATTAATTCTCTTAAATGAGTTGACTATCACCACTTGTGTTTTTCAATGACTTCACTCTTTTTAAAAATCTATACTCCTATTAACATAAATTTCAATGCAACCCATGACTGATTTTTTTAAAATAAATTCTGAATTTAGAGTCCACATGAGTGAAATTTGACTCTATCTATTTTATTGTATTATGATATATATGTTCATTTATAGTCTGTATTTGGAAGAAATACAATCCAGGAACAATCTCCAAGCACAGGGAGAGAAGTAGTTATAAAATTGCAAAGTTTGTTTCTAATATTTATTAAGTAGAGAAGCTGAAATACAGTAAAATAATTTTCCCCCTAAAGTCAAGTCATAAAGAGGCAGTGCAAAGAAATTTCAGTTTTGGTTTTACCTCATTGGAATCATAAATTGCAAATAGTTTGTTTCTCTCAGGTATTCCCCTAACCACCACTCTTTTCCTTTCCATTTGCCTTCTCTTTCTTTTTTATTTCCTCTAATTAGCATAATGACCAGACAATATGACTAAATTAAGTCATTCATTTCTCTCCACTCTATGTCAAGGTAATTACTTCTGGTTACCCTATTTTCTGCTGGCTTCCCTTTACCTGCTGAACAGTCTGCTTTCAGATGGACAGCTCCTGCTTTATTCTTGGACAGAGCAAAGGCTGAAATTTTCCTGAAGCTGATTCGTGCCATGAGGCCAGGCTCAGGAAATCAGTGGTCTGAGGTCTTGTATGTTTGTAGCATGAGAATATCAATACACTCTGAGCATAGTGGGAGGCAGTATCATATAGTGGACACAACTTTGGTGTTAGAAAGATCTCAATTCAAATTAATCTTGACTGGAAAATAAAGTCAATAGATCCTCTGGAACATATTTCTTCATCTCTGAAAGAGAGATTAATAATATCCACTTTAACAGGAAACAGGAGTAAATAATCTGATACTTAATAAGCACTCAACACAGTCTGGTCCCTTCCTTTCCTCTTCAACAAGTTCTTTTAATTGAAAATGACTTTTTAAAATGTCATCCTTTCATGGTCCACTGATGCAAGGCCAATCCTTTGGCTCTTTCCATAGGATACACTGACATGATAGGGAGATGAGGGGATATACTGTCTCCTGAATAGATTTGTGTTTTAAGAAGGACTTTCAGGAAAGGAATTTTGATGTAGCAAGGGCAGTGCTAGCGGCAATTTCAGTATTATGTTCTGGGAAATCTAAAAGTTCTATGAGGCTTCTCTGAAGACATGAAAATAGGAAACATTTCATTTCTGCCTGCTCTATGATCTATAAACACCACCTAACAATAGAGTCATTGGTCATCAGCATTCAATTGCACTATTTGGCATAGAAAGAGCTTAACTGGTTTCTGTGAAGATCGCACAGGAAATACAAGTCTATGAAGTTCAAAGCACCTTATAGATCTTTATTTTGTTCTGAAATATTGTGCATTTGTTATATGAAATAAATTACACACTAACATTAATTTGAAATTCTTTTTGTCAGATTAAGAGTACACATGATCTTTGACTTAATTATACTTCTAGGAATCTCTCCTAGAATATACTCATATGTGTGTACAAACATGCATGCAGAACCATATGTACTGCAGCGTATTTGTACCAGCAAAGAGTAGTAAGAATTGCTTCAGTATTACAGAATAGTCATATAATAGAATACTATAAATCCATTAAATGATAAACAATTATTAATCAGATAGCAACTACATGCTCAGAACCTTATTGAATGCTGAAGGAGAATGAAAAGAACTATATGTCATGATTCTTATCCTGGAGGAGTTTATCACTTGGTTGAGAAGGGTCCAAGATGCACAGATCCCCGGCTTAAAATTGTATGTCTTCATGCTCGCTTCAGCAGCATATATACTAAAATTGAAATGACACAGAGATTAGCATGGCCCCCTGAGCAAGGATGACATGCAAATTCATGAAGTGTTCCATATTTTTTTAAAAATAAAAGAATAAACTAAAAAAAAAAAAGTCTGCTACGTGAGTCAACATTTTGGTTTGTGTTCTTGAAGTAGAATCTTCTGGACCAGAGTATGGCAAACTACAGCCCATCAGCCAAATCCAACTCCTTGCCTATTTTTGTAAATAAAATATAATTAGAACACAGACATGCCCATTCATTTATCTATTGTCTAGTTTACTTTCCTTTTTAAAAAAAATGTTTATTTATTTACCTGGGTGCAGTGAAGTGCCAGGTCTTAGTTGCAGCACTGGGGATCTTGAATCTTTGTTGCAGCATGCAGGATTTTGAGTGGTGGAGTGCCAACTGTTAGTTGTGGCATGTGGGATCTAATTCTCTGACAAGAGATGGAACCCAGGCCCCCTGCATTGGGAGCGTGGATTCTTAGCCACTGAACCACCAGGAAAAGTCCCTAGGCTACTTTCCTTATACAGAGTTGAATAGTTGCAACAAAGATCTTATAGCCCACAAAGCCAAAACTATTTACTAACTGGTCCTTTACAGGAAAAGTTTAATCCTCTTGTAGGCCTTAAAAAAAAAAAAAACCTCCTTAAAAAAGGTGTTGGTGGTGCTCTGTGACTACCCAGAGGGATGGGGGGTAGTGGGAGATAGGTTCAAGAGGGAGGGCACATATGTGTACTTAATGGTTGATTCACGTTATTGTACGGCAGAAACCAACACAACACTGTAAAGCAATTATCCTCCAATTAAAAATAAATTTTTTAAAAAGTCCAAGATTCACAGGGAAAAAATGGGTTGGAATTAAGGATTGTGGTTTTAAAATATGGCCATAAATTCTTCGATACATTTTCCTTTACTAGGTGAAGCTGAATCCCTGGGACACCCATGTATGTGTGGGCAATTTGTGCTTGCTGGTGGTGGCCGCATTTCTTTCTGAAAGAGGTGTGGAATTGGTGGCTGTGGCCTCTGGCTTAAATGAACCACAGTCTCCAAGGAGGCAGGGGAGCTGAGCTGGAACTATGGCCAATATAGTGGTAGCAGTTAGACTGACCATTGTGCAGGTCGTTATGCTTTGCAAGCCATGAGGCATATGGACTCTCAAGTAAAACAGACTTTTCACAGTCTATCCAAGTCTGCCTTCACCAGTGACCATTACAGAGATGGGTTTGAATGCAAAGTGACAAAATGAGAAGCAGCATTAATATTAGGTTTAAGTCCTACTGCCAAAGAAAAAAATAAGAGATGCTCATCGATGAATTGTGCATTTAAATCACCCAGACAAGACAGGATCTCCTTAGATAGCAGTCAAAATCAATGAAGCTAAAGATTTACTAGAAGCTCAAGCTAGAAAATGAAGTAAATGTATGATGAATTTTAAGTCCTTATTCATTTGTGTACGTGGGTACCAGTTTTTTATCATAAAATACCTCAAAGCTCCAAAAATAAATAACTAAAAATAAAAGATGAAGCTTAATTATCTTATGAGTATGGACTGAACCTAGTGACTTCCTTCTAATAAATAGAATGATGTGCAAATAAGGGTATGTGAATCCTGACACTAAAAGATGTCCTGATCTAATCCTGATCATAAAAGATGTTACAGTCTTCTCCTTGCCTTCAGATCACTTGCTGGAAGAAAGTAGATTGCTGGAAGAAAGTCGATTGCTATGTTGTGAGGACACTCAAGTAACCCTGTGCAGAGGTCCACATGGCAAGGAACTGATACCTCCTGCCAGAGACTAGCAAGGAACTGGGCCTTCTACTAATGGCCACGTGAGGAAACCCTCTTGGAAGTGGAGCCTTCAGCTCCAGTCAAGCCTTCAGGTCGCTGGAGTCTTGGCTGATGTCTTCACTGAAACTTCATGAGAAACCCTGACTCAGAACCACCCTGTTAAAACCACTCCTGAATTCTTGACCCACAGATACTGGGAAATAATATCTCTTGCCTTAACCTGCTGAATTTGGGGGTAATTTGTTATTTGACAATAAATAGCTAATACAGACTGAAAGCTATAGATGCTCTAGAGCAGCAGGTCTGCAAACTTTCTCTGGAAAGGCCAGATAATCAATATTTTAGGCTTTTGAGCCATCTGGTCTCCATGGCAACTACCCCACTCTGCTGTCATAGCAGGAGGGCAGCCACACACAATAGGTAAACAAATGTGCATGGTTGTGTTCCAATAAAACTTTATTTACAAACACAGGCATCAGGGTTGTGGGCCATAGTTTGCCAGCCTCTAGTCCTTAGGACTTAGACATTGTTCAGGTCTGTAAACTTAGTAAACATAATATTATGGGGAAAAAAAAACTCAATAACTTACTGGATAACTTACTGGAATGACATGCTACCACATGCCTGACTGGGTCTTACCACCATAGTCAGAAGTCACTGATTTTAGTGGCAACTCCTCAAACTGCAGGGTCACCATGCAGTCATGCAATCCCAGCCTATTATCATCACAGCTAAGATTTACTGAATTCCTACTAAAAACCAGGTTCTGGGCAAAGCACATTATCTGCATTATTTCATTTAATCCTTCCAATAACCCTAAGGGGTTAGGTTTAGCATTATACTCACCTTACAGATGAGAAAAAAAAAAAAAAAACTGAGTGCAGTAACTTACACAAAGTCACACAGTAACAAGTGGCAGAGTTAGAGTTTGAACCTGGGAAGTCAACCTATGGAGCCCACAGCCTTGACCTACTCCTGCTGCAAACCCCGAGGAGAAAAGTTTAAGTGCAATAAATATTGTGTGATAACTATGACCTCACATTTTCTTTCAAAGACAGTCAGTTTGGTCGGGTAAAGAGAATGCAAATACGTTAAACAATTGAAAAACACTCTGATAAAACACAATAGTAACAATCATTCATTGCTTTTGGTAGAATAGTCTCTGATGGGGGGTTAGTTCCTAAATCAACAATAAGGAAAAAACTAAACACAGACAAATTACTCCAAAATGCCTTAAAATTGCTCATGAAGTACATTTTGATAGACACAGCTTTGTAAGGAAACAATAGATTCACCTCTCCCTTCTCATGCTCCCTCTGGGATGTATTCACATTTAGGAGAATGGCTGAGCCTTACCTTCAAAATGTAAATTCTCTCTTCTCTCTCTCTCTACTTTCCTCCTCTCTTTCATTGTGTGTATTTTAACGTACATAATTTAAAAATATGTATGATGTTACTCAGGGCTTCCCAGATGGCGCTAGTAGTAAAGAACTCATTTGTCAATGCAGGAGACATAAGAGATGTGAGTTCAATCCCTGTGTCAGGAAGATCCCCTGGAGGAGGGCATCGCAACCCTCTCCAGTATTCTTGCCTGGAGAATCCCATGGACAGAGGAGCCCGGCAGGCTACATAGGGTCCACAGGATTGTAAAGATTCGGACACAAATGAAGCGACTTAGCTTCAGTTACGCTATTGTAATTAAGTATGATGTCAGTCTATTGTACAAACCTAGAATGGAATATAAATGTGAAGGCCACCCAAAGTAAAGAAAAGTAATAACTTTTCTTTTATAAACACAGTATCTCAAGGATAGTCTGACATGCCGGTGTCATGGCATATACACACTGTCCATTCGTCTAAGAAAATCATCTTAGTCTACCCTGGGCATGGACATGATTCAAGCACAAGCAAATTTCTCACAAGAAGAGCAAATTTCTCTTTCATCCTAGTTGTCTAAAATTAGTACAAGAATTGAGGTGCTTGGAACTTGCACAGAACTTGGAAAGCTGAGATCAAGAAATTTAGGAGATGGTGCTGAGAAAAAGAAACATGAAGCAAACAAGAGGAAAGGGAAGGACAATCAAGAATGCTCTGCCAGGACACTGATTTCAGAGAAAGAAGGTAAGGAAGGCAGGTGGAGTGAGAAAAAGCTCTCTGCAAAATCCAGTATATCCTGCATGTTCCCAGGTCTCATTATATTGAGCCAAGTCCAGAAAAGAGCTTATTCGCAAAAAATTGTCATAAAGTTTAAAAAGAAGAGGAAGGATTGAAACAAGGCTAGAACTAGAGCAGGGTGAGTGACACTAAAAGATGATGCTGTGAAAGTGCTGCACTCAATATGCCAGCAAATTTGGAAAACTCAGCAGTGGCCACAGGACTGGAAAAGGTCAGTTTTCATTCCAATCCCAAGGAAAGGCAATGCCAAAGAATGCTCAAACTACTGCACAATTGCACNTGAAGAATTGATGCCTTTGAACTGTGGTGTTGGAGAAGACTCTTGAGAGTCCCTTGGACTGAAAGGAGTCCACCCTAAAGGATATCAGTCCTTAATATTCATTTATGCTAAAGCTGAAACTCCAATACTTTGGCCACTTGATGTGAAGAACTGACTCATTTGAAAAAACCCTGTTACTGGGAAAGATTGAAGGCAGGAGGATAAGGGGACAACAGAGGATGAGATGGTTGGATGACATCACATCACTGACTCAGTGGACATGAGTTTGAGTAAATTCCGGGAGTTGGTGATGGACAGGGAGGCCTGACGTCCTGCAGTCCATGGGGTTGCAAAGAGTCAGACACGACTAAACAACTGAACTGACTGGCTGAGTGACACTTGCCTTGAGCACCAGATTTAAGAGGTGCCAGTAAATTCAATCATGGAGATAAACAATACTTTAATGCAATAATCCAAAAAAATCAAATTGGCAAACTACAACTAGACACCTGATTTGCCAATAAAGTTTTATTGGAACCAAGGTCAGTTTCAGGGTGATGTTATTCAGTTACTCAGCCATGTCTGATTCTTTGCGACCCCATGGACTACATCACACCAGACTTCCTTGTCCTTCACTATCTTCTGGAGTTTCCTCAGATTCATGTCCACTGAGTCAGTGATGCTATCTAACCATCTCATCCTCTTCTCCTTTTGCCTTCAATCTTTCCCAGAATCAGGGTCTTTTCCATTGAGTCAGTTCTTCACATCAGGTGGCCAAAGT